TCTCTCTCTCTCTCGCTCTATCTCTTCTTCTATCTCTCGATCTCTCTATCTCTCTCTCTCTCTCTCTCTCTCTCTCTCTCTCTCTCTCCCCCTCTCTCTCTCTCCTGACAGCCTGTCAGTATCTCCTGCAGCTCACTGATCCAGTAATGAGTGACCCGACAGTGAAGAATAAATATATGTATAACTAGTTTATCTTGTTCCAGAGATAGATCAAATAGCTAAGTGTGTTAGGTCTAACTCTTAGGCCCCGCTCACACGGGACCGTTTGCGTTTATGCACAGTATGCGTATTCAAAAAAGTCTTCCGTTCACATGCATTAGTTTCATTTAACGTGTCTGTTCAAACGAGGCCGCTGGAAACGCTGTAGTACATATGCCGTGCCTGTAAGTGGCGCTGTAACTTCCGCCAAAATACACCAAAAGCAGCAGAAGAAGACCCAGAAGCAGCCGCGCAACAATGTTGCCATGGCTACCCTTCCAGTGTTGCCAACATGGCGACTTTCTCGTTAAATTCGGTGGCTTTCCAAACCCTCCGGCTACTTATTTTTGTCAAAAGCGACTAACGACTAATTTAACGACTTGTAATGGTGTTATTAGGGACTTTTCTGGTGTTTGGAGACTCACATATTGTTCAGCAGTTAACGAGCCGCGGGTGCTGCCGTGAGCCCCTCTGCCCTCCCATAGTACTCACAGGCGCTCACCCCGCAGCAGCTCAGCTGCAGTCAGAGCAGAGAGGAGACAGCCACACTCTCCCGCGTCGAGACGGCAAATGAATTGCGCATGAGCGGGATTTAAATGTAAAATGTAAATGTTTCTTAGAAAGAGAGATATTCTCTACAAACACCGGGTGAGATCGCTCCTTTGTCAATATAATGGATCAATGCATGAAATCTGACTCTGTTTATTTTGTTTAAGGAGTATATTGGGCGTTAACAATTCTGGTTTGCCTTTTATAATATTATTTCATTCAAGAACCCCTTGTGCGTTTAATTAACACAGCTATTTTTGATAGTTGCTACAGCAGTGAGCAGGAGAGGTGGGGCTATCGCTATTTTTTCAGGAAATATTCGTATAGAGGTGATTACACGGACTCGGTTGACCCCCCAGAGCGTTTTGTTTGCAAATCTATCCACCTTGGGACCCGTTATCGTTTGTGGGGTCAGTTTCTATCGGCCTCGTGTAAATAATAGGGCTATACGCACGCGAAACTATGCAGATACAAGCAGTTTTCTCCTCGTGTAAACGGCGCCTTAGTGTGTGTGTTGCTCCGCTCACCGGTCCGTCACAGCGGGTGGAGCTGCAGGATTTCTGCTTCACACACACGTTGCATACCGCTATTTTATTGTCTTTTTCGGACACTCGACACCAGTTACTGCCAGACTGGTGAAGCCATGTTGGCGAGCTTGTTTTGCCGCGCACAGAGAAAAGTGTTATGTATTTTACGTCATAATTTTACGTCATGCATTCGGCATTTTTAGAGAGCACCTGCTCGATCGGCAGAGAGTGAGTATCGGCCGATATCGATCATCCCTAAACGTAGATGTACTGGATATCTATCTTTCTGTAATGGTGGTAAAACTTGAAAAGAAAAATCAAATATTTACGCATGGCTTTCTTCTTTTTTTGGCAGAAAATCACCACCAAGAATGCCTTTGGTCTGCATCTGATTGATTACATGGCTGATATTCTCAAACAGAAGGACTCTGAGCTCACAAACTTCAAGGTATGAGTTGTTGTTTTTTGTCCACTCTTATAACAACTCCCTTGTTTCCTGAAGTTGAAAAACATGTAGCTAACACTTTGCATCACCTGTAGAACAAAAAAATGTGTGTTTTGATCATTTTATAAACCAGTATGCTTTCTTTGTTCTTTGGAGGAACTGTGATTTAGGACCTAAAACGTTTTTCATTCTCCTTTTTAAAGGTCTTGAACCCAGTGAAGTAGAGCAGTCATGTGTTAAATGACTTAAAAAGTGTGTTATCTGACAAACAAATCAATCTTCTTACTTTGATCAAATCTGTGGCACTCAGATTAAAAACCTTACAAAGGTCTGATTATGAGCCGTGTCATTTGAGGTTGCAATGGAAAAATCATTATCAGAATTAATAATATAATGTATAAATACTTATTTTTTATTGCATATATATTTGAATTTAGTTATTGTTTTAATCTTATATACAATGTGCACATTTTTACAAATTCTTACCTTTTCAAAATATATATTTATTTTATCTATCTTGGAATGTTTTAATACATATTTTATTCTATTTAATTTTAGTCTTTTATTAAACGTCTTATGTTGTTTTTTTATATTATATTTAATGTAATTGTTTTATTGCACATTTCTTTACTAAACTGTTATTCTAAATTAAAAACAACTGTCACAAAAATCCCCTTCCTCTTTATTTGACACCCATTATGTCACACATTGCCCCTTAGTGTTACAAAACCTCAAATGGACCTGTGTGTTCTGTGTGCTTTCCTCCTGCAGGTGGCAGCTGGTACTTTGGATGCCAGCACTAAGATCTATGCTGTGAGGGTAGATGCTGTTCATGCCGATGCCTACAGGGTCCTGGGGGGTCTGGGGGCCGAGACCAAACCTGGAGAAGGTGAGACCCTCTCCAATGTGTATTTTCATACATTGTCGGATTACAATTTTTAATAGACTGAATCCCACTGGAGATAGCATGCAGGATTTATCACCTTTTTCCTACAAATTGAATCCAATATTTGACATTTTTTGTGTCCTTTTTTTCCAGACCAGGGTTCAAAGGATGATGAAAACGACGGGGACGGTGAAGCGACCACCAAGCAGCCGAAGAAAAAGAGACCCCCGAAGAAAACTGTGGAGCAAAACCTGGGAAACATCAACAGCGCCGAGTCTGAGAGGAAGTGTGAGGTACGGGGGCGTCTTTACAGGAACATATTTAACACCTTTTCTAATACGATGATAGTTGGACAGAATCAACCTAACAATTCATATGAATATTTACCATTTTCTAATTCTTAAAATCTATGAAATCATCGGTTTTTGTGCTCAAACTCAGGAACTAAACCTGTGTTTCGAGCTGAAAAACTAAATGTAGTTCCTTTACTAAAGTTAAACATATAATATGTAATAATTCTGCATTAAAATATATTTAAAAAAACCCGACTTGACATATGTTCGATATTCTGTCGAGTTGTGTACTTACATTACCTTGAGATATATATAATTTGAATCAGAATTATTCCTTTATTAGTCCCACAGAGGGAAGTTTTACCTCGTTACAGCAAAATAATAAACAGTATTTAGTAAAGCGGCAAGCACATATAATAATCATTTTAAATCAAATAATAATTACATATTCCCTTTTTAAAGTAACAAGTTAAGTAGCAGCATAAAGAAAGAAAATTAAGTAAGTAGAAGCAGGGTGTCCGCGGGGTCTTAAAAAGTATTCAAAGTTGATCAATTTAGTGAAAATGAAGGCTATTAAAAATAATTAAACGGCATTTTCCAAGGTATTACATGTTGTAGCTAGTTTCCAATAAGTATATAAATTGTCCAAAGAGGTTGTATTCTACAGTCTGCCTGAATGTAATGATTGCGTAGGTGTGTAGTGTGATTCTGTGTAGTTTATTTATGGCATCCCGTTGGATTTGACGTCATCTGAACAGGACATCGCACACTCACTGCTTGATAGCGTGCGAAGGTCCGTTTACGCCGGTTGTTAAACAACATCGTTATGGGGAAATGCAAGTCTGCGTCCAAATGGTTGGAAGATAAGGAGGAAGGACAATCAATACTGTATATAGTAAATGTGAGGTAAAATGTGTCGCCAATGTAACCGGTTAGAACTCAAAGTGGCGATGAGGTCTTAAAATGTATGGAAAGGGTCTTAAAAAAGGTCTTAAAAGGTTTTACATTTGACTTCAGGATTCCTGAGAAAGTAATGTGGGATAGTAGCTGGAAGATAACGGTAGTAAATACTATATTTCCTAGTATATAAGTATATATTCAGGGCTCGACAGTAATGGTGGCCATTGGCATCCATTCAGAAAAAATGTCAACCACTTCTTGGCCTTTGGTTGCCATCAGTGGCAACCACTTTTTAACATAAAGAAATAAGGACAGCAAACCGCTAAATGTGCACCCCAAAATAGATAAATGTTAATTATTTGTTGTATTAAGAGTGATATTTAATTATTGTTGTGACCAGTCGGAACCTGATACTTATGTTGCACGTGCATTGGTGTGATTACGGAGCCAGAAAGCGATGCACATTTACTCGCGTGCGTGGTGTGTTTGTTTTACAAAAAATGGCGAAGCAAATTAAGTTGTTTGACTGTGGGGTAAAAAGTTCGGCCAACCCGTCAACATCTCAAACGAATGTCCAAAGTGATTCAACTGATATAGCGCAAGATGAACCCGAACGAAAGCAAAGAGGAAATGTGTAAAGTCTTGGGAGGCGAAATATAAGTATATTCTCCTCCGTTGTGCATTCACTTCCGGTAAAAGTTCCTTCAAAATAAGAGTCCCGATCTTATTACTACCAAAATAAAAGTGCTAAACGAAACTTTACCATAGGAAAATATTGGCATACAAATATAATCACTTCTATAAAAAGGTAACACATTTTAAATATAGTTAGACATATTAAAGGTAATTTACAGCATTAATAATTAATATCTAATTCTTAACTGTGAATGGTTTTCATTTATTTAACATTAGAAATGTATTAGTCTGGCCAATCAAGACTTCAATGTTGAAGGGCCAGTGGATCTGTGGTGGGGGTCAGCACAAAGGTCAAGACTTCAATGCTGAAGGGCCAGTGGATCTGTGGTGGGGGTCAGCACAAAGGTCAAGACTTCAATGCTGAAGGGCCAATGGATCTATGGTGGGGGTCAGCACAAAGGTCAAGAAACCCACATTTGAAAGGGAGACAACAGATGACCAAGAAACTAGTGACTTGCTCAATTCATTTGTGAGGGATCTGTGAAGAACATAACAACAGCTGCACTACTGGTATTTTGTATACCAGCAATTGAGGGTGGACAAGTTTACTACCACTTAAGTTTCAAATAATTGTGTTAATTACTTATTGTAAAGCATTTGAACATTCTTTTGTGTCACATTTTCATTATTAAGTTGATGTATAACGGTATAGTATCTTAATTATTTAAAATATAAGGTGACTAAAAATGGCAACTGTATTTTCAGTTTTGGCAACCAAAAGCTGATGCCTGGCAACCAGCCTGGCAACCACTTTTAAAAGTTAGCGTTGAGCCCCGATATTACACTCAAGGTAACGGTGGGTTTTATTCGGTCTCCTGCTATCGCGTTGTGTTCCCTTAAGTTTGCTTGTTGTTGTGGTTATCTTCTGGTATTAATCAAGCATTTTGCATCATTGTTCAATCCGTTATCGATCTAATTTGACCTATTTACACTCAAAATGAATATTTTAAATGGTATTTCCAGGTTGAGTTCCTCTTTTTCCATCATTTATGAGACCAGTTTAATATTCAATCAGTGGTGAAAACTTCAAAAACATTTAAATATCTGCTGAATAATGACTGATTGCTTGTGATGAGTAAGATAAATGTTTAGACGTGGGTCAGTCGGCTATCATCTCAGGAGCTTTGAGAGATTTAAATCCCCTTTCACTGATCCTCATGTTCAGATAACCAACATATATGAAGGACATTTTACTCTGGACTCTGTTTGAGTGCAATATATAATATGTTTTGACCTTGCTCCTGTTTTCATTTGACTTATATTAATAAATCTCTCTTCCCCCCAGGTGGACCCCATGTTTCAGAGAATGGCCGCCTCGTTCGATGAGAGCAGCACGGCGGGCGTCTTCCTGTCCGTCCTCTTCTGTCAGAACAGTCGCTGCGAGCTGCTGTTTCCCTCCAACATGACCCTGCTGCAGTCCACTCCCTCCTACTCTCCCCCCCGACCCCTGACCGTCCCTGCATCCCCCTTCATGGGTAAAGAAAACATTTAAAAGCTTCAATAATGTGCATGGATGAGATATGATATGACCCTGAAGGCAGCATCTATCTGGTTCCCTCCATAAAAAGCCAATAGGATATAATAAGAAATGATTTCATCGTTTATGATACTTATCTGTTAGTTCAGCAGGATAATCTCCACATACTACGACACTTTATGATTTGTGAAGTAAAAAGCTAACGTTGGGCTATAAAGGAACTACAGCACGGTCACATTACTTCACGTCACCACCGCTAAGCTAAAGGTGGCTAATGTTGGGCTATCAAGGAACTACAGCACGGTCACATGACATCACGTCACCGCCGCTAAGCTAAAGGTGGCTAATGTTGGGCTATCAAGGAACTACAGCACGGTCACATGACATCACGTCACCGCCGCTAAGCTAAAGGTGGCTAATGTTGGGCTATCAAGGAACTACAGCACGGTCACATGACATCACGTCACCGCCGCTAAGCTAAAGGTGGCTAATGTTGGGCTATCAAGGAACTACAGCACGGTCACATGACATCACGTCACCGCCGCTAAGCTAAAGGTGGCTAATGTTGGGCTATAAAGGAACTACAGCACGGTCACATGACTTCACGTCACCACCGCTAAGCTAAAGGTGGCTAATGTTGGGCTATAAAGGAACTACAGCACGGTCACATGACTTCACGTCACCACCGCTAAGCTAAAGGCGGCTAATGTTGGGCTATAAAGGAACTACAGCACGGTCACATGACTTCACGTCACCACCGCTAAGCTAAAGGCGGCTAATGTTGGGCTATAAAGGAACTACAGCACGGTCACATGACTTCACGTCACCACCGCTAAGCTAAAGGCGGCTAATGTTGGGCTATAAAGGAACTACAGCACGCAGAGTTCCCGTTAGAATATTTTTTTGCCGGTCAACATGTCCGTTAAAGTTGAAATCTTCTTCTTTGTTATTTATTGAGCTTTAAAACAAATTGATATGATTCGATATTAAGCAAACTAATTATAGTAGATTAACTACATTATTCAAACGTGTACAGTAACTTACAAAAACGCGGGAATAATAAACGGAGCGCTCTCCCCCTCTCCTGACAGCTCGCGGATCCAGTAATGAGTGACCCGACAGTAAAACTAAACGTATCTATAACTAGTTCAGGTAGTTTGAGAGGTAATTAAAATAGCTACGTGTGATATTCTAACCTGAAGTGTGTGTTTTGCTCCGCTCACCGCTGCAGGTGATCATGCAGAGCTGCGTGTCGACTCGTCAGCAGCAGCTGGTCTCTCTCTCCCGTCAGATTAGACTTCACTTGCGTTTATGTCCATATCGATCAGTTCTAGCTTGTTCTAGCTAATGATATGACTACCTGCTTATTAAAAGACACCTAAACAATAAGCGTCGCTATGCAACTGGGTGAGGCCATAAGTATTGCGTATAATTATGCATTTGTTTACATGCCCACCGGAACCCAGAGGCATTACCAACAGATCAACGCACAATCAACCCATACAGGACACTCTTTCTCCACGTTACGTGTGAGACATTAGAATTGACTCTTCTTGTCTGTCACATACTCTTCTTGTCTGTCACATACTCTTCTTGTCTGTCACGTACTCTTCTTGTCTGTCACGTACTCTTCTTGTCTGTCACGTACTCTTCTTGTCTGTCACGTACTCTTCTTGTCTGTCACAGACTCTTCTTGTCTGTCACAGACTCTTCTTGTCTGTCACGTACTCTTCTTGTCTGTCACGTACTCTTCTTGTCTGTCACAGACTCTTCTTGTCTGTCACATACTCTTCTTGTCTGTCACATACTCTTCTTGTCTGTCACATACTCTTCTTGTCTGTCACATACTCTTCTTGTCTGTCACGTACTCTTCTTGTCTGTCACGTACTCTTCTTGTCTGTCACGTACTCTTCTTGTCTGTCACGTACTCTTCTTGTCTGTCACGTACCCCTCTTGTCTGTCACGTACTCTTCTTGTCTGTCACATACTCTTCTTGTCTGTCACATACTCTTCTTGTCTGTCACATACTCTTCTTGTCTGTCACATACTCTTCTTGTCTGTCACATAAGTGGCGCAACTGATGCGGTATTGCGCTAAGGGAAAATTATTTTGACCGGACATTTTGACCGGAGAGATTTAGATTTGCCGGTCTTCAGCATATTTTACCGGTAATTACCGGCTAACGGGAACTCTGACAGCACGGTCACATGACTTCACGTCACCACCGTTAAGCTAAAGGTGGCTAATGTTGGGCGTGATGACACTTGTTAGCAACCTCCATTTTTAAATTCACCAGTGGGGTATTTACTGGTGCATTTTTTGTCGTAGGAGAAACATCTCTTGACCTTATTTCAAGAAAACAACCATAAACACATTCAGAAAGCATTGACCTGTGGACAGGAAGGGATAAAAGGCTGACTATTTTCTGGGTTTTTGGACTCATTCCTGCACCACTCCACTTCCATTAAGTGTTATCTATTCCTCAGTATAACATCATCTCTGTGTGTTTCCTGCAGCTGGACTTCAGCGCTCCAAAGAGAAAACTTCCATCTGCCCGTCGCTGCAGGACTTCTCCTTCACCAGCTGGGACCCTGAGCAGGTCAGAGAAACCACCAAACCTTATATTATAAATTAAATTAGAAACATATTTCCAAAGGTATTCGAGCATCGTAATAATCCCGACCCTGTGAACCTCCCTGCAGACGAAGAACCAGCTGCTGGAGAAGATGCAGCAGGGCGACCACGTGTTCGATGTGAACGCTGAGCCGGAGCCCGAGGAGGACGACGGACCCGACTTTGACGCCGACTACGACGATGCCGACTGTGAGGAAAGAGGGAAGGAGTTCAAGGAGCGCTGCGAGGCGTCTGGATCTGGCAGCGGGAGGTAAGATCTTCGTTGCCAACGCCACCCCTAAACATACTATCCATAGCTCTTTTATGATAACATGTCTGCAGAAGTATTTCAGACCCTGGTCACTGTGGTTGAAACACCTCAAACGTTTCCTAGCCCCCTGGGAAAGTTACTGGGGTTAAAAAGGGGCTTAAGAGACATCGGGTGTATCAGATAAGTGTATTCATTTATAATGATAATAACTGCTTACATTTATATAGCGCCTTTCAGGGGACTCGAGGTCGCTTTACAGAAAAACAGTCAGACAAATGGTAAAACAAATAAACTAGGAGCAGAAGGCCTTGGCAAATAGGTGGGACTTGAGGGCTTTTTAAAGGTGTCAAGAGATATAGTTATTTTACTTTTCTGAGGTGCTATATTTGATAAGATTTGTATAAACTCCGGCTTCGACAGCGCGCAGTAAGATCGGGGATTTTATGATTGAACAGTTATATTTGTTTTCTAATGAGGAGTAGAGACACTTACCCTTTTATCACAGACTACAGACTGATTTGTTTGATTGTATTTTGTATAATCTCAGGCTCACATATTTAATTCATTAGGCCATACTGAAAGGGTTAAAATACAAACAATCCAGCCTCGTTAACAGAATCCTGATTCATTGGATGCTCATTGGAAAATATTGGTTTCGGTGGATCACACGTAGATATTTAATCCATTTAGATCATGCAAAAAGGGTTCGTGTGTGTGTGTGTGTGTGTACTGTTTAATGTGTCCTCATGCTGCTGTGTTGTCGCTTCAGGGACGTTATTCCCATCGGAGAGGGAGACATCGCCACCATGTGTATGCAGCTGTCCTCTCAGCCCAGAGAGTATTCCTACTTCAGCCCCAGAACCATGGCCGCCTGGGCCGGGCCCGGGTACTGGCAGTTCAAACCCAAACACAAGCGTGAGTGGAAATTAATATCAAATATAACCTCCCTTTTATATTAATAGAACAATAATGTCATTGTTAGATAATGACATTATTGTTCTATTAATATAAAAGGCTGTTTTAAAGAGTACCTGACCTCCCTTTATATTAATAGAACAATAATGTCATTGTTAGCTAATGAATGTTTCCATGCTGAACAACGGCAACATGACAACGTTTTCATTGGTCCCTCTTCTTTAGAGAAGACCAGGAAATGATGGATACACGGATCGTGTTCAAATCAATAGGCACGCAATGACTCTAAATAATAATGATCACGCCACCAAACACACATTCAAACTAAAGGAACCAGCCTGTTTGGGAAATGTGAGAAGTAGAAAGTACAGGTATTTGTGTTCAACATGTGAGAAGTAGAAAGTACAGGTATTTGTGTTCAACATGTAAGAAGTAGAAAGTACAGGTATTTGTGTTCAACATGTGAGAAGTAGAAAGTACAGGTATTTGGGTTCAACATGTAAGAAGTAGAAAGTACAGGTATTTGTGTTCAACATGTAAGAAGTAGAAAGTACAGGTATTTGTGTTCAACATGTAAGAAGTAGAAAGTACAGGTATTTGGGTTCAACATGTAAGAAGTAGAAAGTACAGGTATTTGGGTTCAACATGTAAGAAGTAGAAAGTACAGGTATTTGTGTTCAAAATGTAAGAAGTAGAAAGTACAGGTATTTGAGTTCAACATGTAAGAAGTAGAAAGTACAGGTATTTGTGTTCAACATGTAAGAAGTAGAAAGTACAGGTATTTGTGTTCAACATGTAAGAAGTAGAAAGTACAGGTATTTGTGTTCAAAATGTAAGAAGTAGAAAGTACAGGTATTTGTGTTCAACATGTGAGAAGTAGAAAGTACAGGTATTTGTGTTCAACATGTAAGAAGTAGAAAGTACAGGTATTTGGGTTCATAATGTAAGAAGTAGAAAGTACAGGTATTTGTGTTCAACATGTAAGAAGTAGAAAGTACAGGTATTTGGGTTCATAATGTAAGAAGTAGAAAGTACAGGTATTTGTGTTCAAAATGTAAGAAGTAGAAAGTACAGGTATTTGTGTTCAACATGTAAGAAGTAGAAAGTACAGGTATTTGTGTTCAACATGTAAGAAGTAGAAAGTACAGGTATTTGTGTTCAAAATGTAAGAAGTAGAAAGTACAGGTATTTGAGTTCAACATGTAAGAAGTAGAAAGTACAGGTATTTGTGTTCAAAATGTAAGAAGTAGAAAGTACAGGTATTTGAGTTCAACATGTAAGAAGTAGAAAGTACAGGTATTTGTGTTCAAAATGTGAGAAGTAGAAAGTACAGGTATTTGTGTTCAACATGTGAGAAGTAGAAAGTACAGGTATTTGTGTTCAACATGTGAGAAGTAGAAAGTACAGGTATTTGTGTTCAACATGTGAGAAGTAGAAAGTACAGGTATTTGTGTTCAACATGTAAGAAGTAGAAAGTACAGGTATTTGGGTTCAACATGTAAGAAGTAGAAAGTACAGGTATTTGAGTTCAACATGTAAGAAGTAGAAAGTACAGGTATTTGGGTTCAAAATGTAAGAAGTAGAAAGTACAGGTATTTGTGTTCAACATGTAAGAAGTAGAAAGTACAGGTATTTGGGTTCAACATGTAAGAAGTAGAAAGTACAGGTATTTGGGTTCAACATGTAAGAAGTAGAAAGTACAGGTATTTGTGTTCAACATGTAAGAAGTAGAAAGTACAGGTATTTGTGTTCAAAATGTAAGAAGTAGAAAGTACAGGTATTTGAGTTCAACATGTAAGAAGTAGAAAGTACAGGTATTTGTGTTCAACATGTAAGAAGTAGAAAGTACAGGTATTTGGGTTCAAAATGTAAGAAGTAGAAAGTACAGGTATTTGAGTTCAACATGTAAGAAGTAGAAAGTACAGGTATTTGTGTTCAAAATGTGAGAAGTAGAAAGTACAGGTATTTGTGTTCAACATGTGAGAAGTAGAAAGTACAGGTATTTGTGTTCAACATGTGAGAAGTAGAAAGTACAGGTATTTGTGTTCAACATGTGAGAAGTAGAAAGTACAGGTATTTGTGTTCAACATGTGAGAAGTAGAAAGTACAGGTATTTGTGTTCAACATGTAAGAAGTAGAAAGTACAGGTATTTGTGTTCAACATGTAAGAAGTAGAAAGTACAGGTATTTGTGTTCAAAATGTAAGAAGTAGAAAGTACAGGTATTTGTGTTCAAAATGTAAGAAGTAGAAAGTACAGGTATTTGTGTTCAACATGTAAGAAGTAGAAAGTTCAGGTATTTGTGTTCAAAATGTAAGAAGTAGAAAGTACAGGTATTTGTGTTCAACATGTAAGAAGTAGAAAGTACAGGTATTTGGGTTCAAAATGTAAGAAGTAGAAAGTACAGGTATTTGTGTTCAAAATGTAAGAAGTAGAAGGTACAGGTATTTGTGTTCAACATGTAAGAAGTAGAAAGTACAGGTATTTGGGTTCAACATGTAAGAAGTAGAAAGTACAGGTATTTGTGTTCAACATGTAAGAAGTAGAAAGTACAGGTATTTGGGTTCAACATGTAAGAAGTAGAAAGTACAGGTATTTGTGTTCAACATGTAAGAAGTAGAAAGTACAGGTATTTGTGTTCAACATGTAAGAAGTAGAAAGTACAGGTATTTGGGTTCAACATGTAAGAAGTAGAAAGTACAGGTATTTGTGTTCAACATGTAAGAAGAGAAGTAGAAAGTACAGGTATTTGTGTTCAAAATGTAAGAAGTAGAAAGTACAGGTATTTGTGTTCAAAATGTAAGAAGTAGAAAGTACAGGTATTTGTGTTCAACATGTAAGAAGTAGAAAGTACAGGTATTTGTGTTCAACATGTAAGAAGTAGAAAGTACAGGTATTTGTGTTCAAAATGTAAGAAGTAGAAAGTACAGGTATTTGTGTTCAACATGTAAGAAGTAGAAAGTACAGGTATTTGGGTTCAAAATGTAAGAAGTAGAAAGTACAGGTATTTGGGTTCAAAATGTAAGAAGTAGAAAGTACAGGTATTTGTGTTCAACATGTAAGAAGTAGAAAGTACAGGTATTTGTGTTCAAAATGTAAGAAGTAGAAAGTACAGGTATTTGTGTTCAACATGTAAGAAGTAGAAAGTACAGGTATTTGGGTTCAAAATGTAAGAAGTAGAAAGTACAGGTATTTGGGTTCAAAATGTAAGAAGTAGAAACCACCTTTCTGGGTTTTTTAAAATGTACTCTATCTTTTACAGTGGACCATATGCCCGACAAGGAGCCGCGTAAAAGGAAACCCAAGAAGACGGTGGAGATCGACTTCAATGATGACGTCAACTTCGACGCGTTCTTCCGCACCACCAGAGTAAGAGCCAGACACAAAATATATCCACTGTTGCATTGTGGGATTACATTTCAGCGTTGTAGGGAGAGATCTCGGTATACAGAAACCCCCCTGTGCTATTTGTAGCTGTATTTAGCCTCCTGCCACTATCTAGTTCAGTGTTTCTCAATATGTGGTCCGTGAGCGACCCCTAGTGGTCCGTGAGTATATTGGTAAAATGTAAATAATACATTCAAAGTGTTTCTCAAATTGTTTAAAAGTGACTTGTATAGGTGGTAACAGAGACACGCAGTGCGTAAACAATGCTAAATAAATGGAACACTGTAAATAATTAACTTGTGTTTATCGTTGAATTCATGTTAAACTTGGGACTGCAACCATAGCTTTACTGTATTTTCTATTTAGAAAATCCACAGCGGAGGTTTGTGTCGTACTAAAAGCGGTGCATTTTGCATTTCTCTCAGTAGCCAAAGATATTCGGACATAAACTCCGTAATAAATGTAGTCTACGTTTCATATGAGGTGTAAAAGCTGAGCATTTAAAATTACATATGAAGGAAATACTTGTAGAATCTGTGGTTGTATTTGTATTGTTGATTTAATGTATGAACGAGGCGATACAGAGAAGGTGAGGCTGTAATTTGTTATAAACTGTTGGAGTGGTAAGCAGGCCTATTGTTTTTGGATATTTGGGGAGTTCGGTGGTCCGTGTGTGTTTTTTATTATTGGTCAAGTGGTCCTTGGCATGAGAAACACTGATCTAGTTTCATATGATACCAGTATCTCCAATCTCACATGTCCTACTTCCTCTCTTCTCAGGCGGCCACCACCATCAGTAAGTCTGCCCTCAGTGTGAGCAACAAGAAGACCACTCTGCCCGCAGACTTCCAGTTTCCCCCAGAGAGCCTGTCCCAGCTCAACCTCAAGCCCTCCAGCTCGGTGAGTGAAAGGTCAAAGGTCGACACGCAATAAAACACACACATCCCCTTCAGAAATACAGTCAACTGTTGGCTGAAGCTTGACATTATTCATCAATTAAGTCCAAGTAAATATCAGCAAAAATGTCGCATAATGGTTGTCAGCTTTTTATTCTAAATTTGACTCACAGCCCAAAGTGCTTTATAGAGTATGACAAAAAAATGACAATAACAAATGAGGAACATAATCAAAATATGTAAAAACAATACAATACTACTAAAAATGATAAGCCAAATCAAAAAGATAGGTCTTTAATTTACTTTTTAAAAATTCCAATTGAGGTTGCTGTTCAAAGATCAAATGGTTTGGGGCCATAAAAACAGAAAGCAGCCTCTCCAGTTTTCTTGTAAAGCACTCTAGATACTTTTAAAAGTGAAGCATTGGAGGATTAGTGTCCTTGCAGGTTGATAAAATGAGAGACAGCCACTTAAATATGTCGGGGCAAGGTTATGTAAATGATTAAAAGCACTTCTGAAGGACACCGGTAACCAGTGCGTGACATTATTCATCAATTAAGTCCACGCAAACATCAGACAAATGTTGTATAATTCTAATTGTTGTCTGCTTTTTATTCTAAATTTGACTTCCAGAAAGTTTATACATGCTACAGTTATCATATAATGTGCTCTGAATATCTGTAACTGGTTAGATGGATAGATGGATAGATGGATAGATGGATAGATAGACAAATGGATGGATAGATGGATAGATACTTTAATGATCAGACTTTATAATACAATACTTTAAATTCTTTAAAAAGTCGAAAAGAGAATTAACAATTAAAAATAAAATGAAAAATATGATATCTTATATGAAATATCAACAAAAAAATATACAATATTCTGGATAATTAAAAAAATAAAAAGTCAAAAATACAACAGGATCCAAAAATACTCCAGAGGCCTGTACTACGAAGCCGGATTTTCGCTTAGCCGGCTGACTTCAGGGTGGCAGGCTAAGAGATCAACTCAGTGAAAGCACCGCCTGCTGACCAATCAGAGCTCCGTGTGCGGAGTTTAAAGCGATCAAGTCATATTACAGGATAGAGGAAATACAGAAAAACTGCCGTTGCAGGAAAGACAGCCGGCCAAAATCAACTGACTGTGTGAACGTGAAAATTAATAGAATATCCCCTCCCATCTTCAGAGCAATCTGACTATTAGAACATTAGCGTTAAGAAAGCTTACTTAAATATCTGCCACGACATAAGTAACCGGATCAGAGTAACATTAAGTACAGTCCGCGGCACTGTGAGTGCAGACGTCGATGTGTGCCATTATCATTCATATCATATCACATCATAATGTATCATATATTTCCTTATCTGAGTCAGCTTCTTGAGCCGTATCTGGCCGTGCAACACTCACAGTGTCACATACTGTATGCAGAAGTATTATTTTAAGCAACACATTAAGTTAGGGCTGTGCGATTATGGCAAAAATCATAATCACGATTATTTTGGTCAATAATTGATATCACGATTATTAAATACGATTATTCATGGCTTTGAAAACATCCATTTATTGAACTTTTAAATACAAATAATAATTTGCACAGTATCTTTTTAACTGTTGATTTCCCTGAGCGTATAATTCAACTGAAAAACCAATACAAAAATAAATTAAATAAATGATACATTTAAAGAAATAATATCAAAATAATAAATACCAATAAACAAGATCAACAAATATTTTGGAGCGCACTTCAACAAGCTACTAAACATATATAAATATGATAAATACAAACACATTTGATCAAATATGTTGCAGTGCACTGTCACAACCTAGCAAAGCAAAAATAATCGTTTTTTTCGATTATGTTGTTTTCGTAATTGTGGCAGGCCAAAATCGTAATTGCGATTAAAATACGATTAATTGCACAGCCCTACATTAAGTTGACGAAACACTCGAGTCAAATGTAATTAAAGTCAGATCCACTCGTGTCTTGGACGGGGCAGTGATTTCATAAACCTGTTAATGTACGCATTCAAACGCTTTTTCTTTTACCAGCTGTATTCACCTTGCAGGTGCAGCTATGTGGCTTTTATCCTGGATACAGTGTTTAAGTCATGGATGTTTAAAGTTTAACTTCTTCATATTTGACTAATATTAAAGTTCACTTTTCATTCAGGAAGTATGACCCTTCGCTGTCAGTACGCTTGTCCATGTTTGTGATTGGTCGAATGCTCCAAATACCACCCCTTTCATGTGAACGCGCACCTAACTAGATAGGACACGGCTGGCTTGAGCGATCCACTTGATAACCAGCGTCGTAGTACAGCTTAGCGAGAGCGCGTATGTTTTGGATTGGGCCAACCGGCTAACTCCAACATATCCAGGTTAGGTTGAACCAGCTTCGTAGTACAGGCCTCAGGTATCATGTTTTTGTGTTTTAATATCTTGTTTTTGTACCTATAGTTGACTCAGGAGGGCCAGAAGAGGCTGTCAGGAGAGGTGGGAGAAGGAATCGGAGATTACGACTACAACAACGCCAACGACACGGCCAACTTCTGTCCAGGTCTCCAGGTCTGAACTGCTTCTTATATTTCTTTACATTCAATATGTTTTTATTAAAACCAGTTCCTCCCCAAGCCTGTTTATGATATCATGAGGATCTAATGATAGAGGATTATCATCAGACATCTTTTTAATATTCCAGCTCTTCTCCTTGTAACAACGTCCAAAAATCTAACTTTGCCTCTCTGATTTATATCTCAAAATATTCAAACTTTTCTCTTAAAATATTCAAACTTTTCCCTTAAAATATTCAGACTTTTCCCTTAAAATGTTCAACATGTTTTTCTGAAAATGTAACAACTTTTTTCTCCAATTATTTGAATTTTATTTCACAAAATATTCCCCAAAAAAATCTCAAAATATTCTAACTTTTTTCTCAAAATATTCAAACTTTATTCCTAAAATTTCTCCCCAAAAAATCTGAAAATGTAACAACGTCCAAAATCTAACTTTGCCTCTGCAACAGGTCTAATTGTGTGTGTGTGTGTGTGTGTGTGTGTGTGTGTCCGTCTTCCTCTGCAGGGTGGAGACAGTGATGATGACGCTGAAGGGTTTGCAGACGACCCTTCAGCAGAAAGCTTGCCCCCCCCCTCTCTGGAGGAAATCACCACCTACGGGGAGCAGGATTTGGTGCCGGAGCCGCATCGGGTCAGTGCCGGGCTTTAATGCTCAAAAGATGTTTTAATAATATAGTTACGACACAAAAATCTAATTTATTTACTTCACTGGAATTATCTCAGAGAATGGATCAGATAATTTGGAGCTTTATTTATACCCTTGGGGAAATGCAGGCGTTTATTCACACAATGTAAAGATAAAAATAGAATACAAATTACAATAATAATAATACAGCAAAGAAAAAGTGATAAAGTCACTATTGAAACAAGATATCACAGTAAATAGTTGAGTATTTGTATGAACATGTTACATATATTTACATTAGTGTGCAGATGTGAGTGCAATCACATAGCATTTACAATTAAACTACAATATTAGGCAGGCTACACATTGAAAAATACATTTCTTTATACACACTTTCTCCTATTTGTAGCCAATAAACACATCCCTGTTTAAAAATTTAAATATTTCTTAACATATGTTCCCTTAAACTAGTGTTCATTTAGTTAAAATAGGTGTTATCTTTATATTGTATAAAATAATACCGTCACCAATATTTTAGGACATCTTTGAAATCCTTTTAAAGTGTGGGAATTTTATAGAGAACAACAATATCTTGTAAGTTAAAAACAAACAAACAATGGGTCATGTAAAGCATTTTTTTTTGTTTCTTCTTGCCTCGAAAAAGCTCTTAAAGTAAAAAGCAATGTAATAATAAAATCGTCTTTTTATAGCAAAAATTACCTCGATCTGTAAAATCTAGGAGAATAAGTCTGTAAAATCCTTGCATTTAATGTTAAAGGGGACCTATCATGCAAAATGCACTTTTGTACGTCTTTTATACATGAATATGTGTCCCCGGTGTTCCAGGGAACTCACCAAGTGTCAGAAAACACAACCCTCTCTATTTTCCTCCATACCCAAATCTCTAAAAAAGGGGCTGCAACGGATCTGATAAAAACTGATCCAGATTTGAACACTGTCCTGACGTCAGGACGGTGGCGCTACGGCTATTGGGCCAACTCCACCAATCAGGAGGAGACAGCCACGGCCATTGCCGTTCGAAAGCGCTGGAGACGCTGTAGTACATATGCCAGGCCTGTAGATGGTGCTGTTCTCACAGAATCTGCCCAGAGCTAGACATTTTTAAATTGAGCGAAATGAGGCATGATCTGTTTGGTATTTTGAAAAAAAAAGTATAAATATGCCTTATATAGGTATGGTCCTACACTATATTATTCAAATATAGCATGATAGGTCCACTTTAAACAAGGCGTTGAAACCCCAGACAAGTATCTTGATATATATTTCCTGACCCTTACTTGTAGTTACATGTTAGAAAAATATCACTGGTCACCGGCTTGAGCTTCAATCTCAGGATCCATGTATCTCTGATCCTCTCCAGAATGGAAGTAGTCATCACATACAGAGCATCAACTAGTTCCTGAACAGTGTCCTTCACATGCTGATATCCAAGAGAGGGAGTTACACAGTCACAAGATGGAGGAATAGAAAGCAGTGTTCAATGTTTACTTCAGATTAGCTCCACGTCAGAAATGATCATGCTTGTCATATGTCTATCTCCATAGAGGCTGAATCATCATGTTAATCACATAGCTATCATATGCCTCAAACAGTCCTGATGCTCTTCTAGGTAATCAGACATCCTGTCATGTACACAGCTACAGTTGGGATACCTTTGTTATCATGTTACTCTCATGTTGGAAGAGGACATTCAGTATTTTCCCAACATTACATGTTTGCTTTCTGTATTTCAGGTCAACAAGATAGAGATAAATTACGCTAAAACGGCGAAGAAGATGGACATGAAGAGATTGAAGAACGGCATGTGGAGCCTCCTGACCGAGAGCCCCGACAAACCGTCGCAGGTAAAAAAACACTCAAAGGTTTACTTTGCATCTTCAGGTGTATACATTCAGATGTTTTGCTCAAAATAAATATAATCTTTTCACAAATTATTTAAACTTCTTTCACAAAATATTCAAACTTTTTCCTAAAAGATTCCAACATTTCTGGTATGTCCAGAAATTCAGATCTTGTTTTTCAGAAAATGTAACAACTTTTTTTCTCAACATATTTAAACTTTTTTTCACAAAATATTAAAGGTAGGGTAGGTAATTTTGGAGAAACCAGCTTGAGTGCGCTAGAATTTGAAAATACACAACCGGAGAAAATCTGCCACTTCCTTACAGAGCCCCTCCTCCAACACACACGAACGTGCACATGACCAATGAGGGCACGAGATAAGTTTGTGCACAGATGGAAGGCTGACAGGCAGGTAGGCCATCCAGTTACTTTAGCCGGGCCGGCTAAAATTATTGGTCGTGCTTTTTACAGTACTACGGCTTCCACAGATGACATTTATTTTATGGATTTATTGTCAAAGCACTTAAGATATTCATTGCTATCGGGATGTTAAGAGCATTCCATGGAATATAACAAAAAGTGTATCTCTAGCCGGTTTCTCAAACTTACCTACCCTACCTTTAAAGAAATCTCAAAATATTCAAACTTTTTTTCACACATTTTCAAACTTTTTATCTTAAAATATTCAAACTTTCTCCTCAAAATATTCAAACTTTCCCCTCAAAATATTCAAACTTTCCCCTCAAAATATTCAAACTTTCCCCTCAAAATATTCAAACTTTTCTCACCAAAATATTCAAAGTACTTTCACAAAATATTCAAACTTTTTCCTTAACATTTCAAAAATTTCTGGAAATTTCCAGCATTTTTTTGTAACAACTTTTTTCTCAAATTATTAAAACGTTTTTTCACAAAATATTCAAAAAAAAATCTCAAAATCAAACTTATTTTCACACTTTTTTCTCAAAACATTCAAACTTCACAAATTATTCAAACTTTTTTCTCAAAATGCCCAGCATGTTTCTGAAAAACTGATTTATTAATTAATCACTTCTTGTGCTAGAATTGAGAGATGTGTGTTTCTGGTTGTAATACAGTGTGTTTTATTGATGTCCCTGCAGGAGACGGATGCTGTGGAGAAAACAGAAGTGTTTGGAGAGAAGGCTTTCAGTCAGACCACAAAGATCCTGCTGCAGAGGTACGAACACGAGCAACAAATTAACAGATTTTAATATTCCGAGATCAGGGTTTCTACTTGGTTATAGAAGACCAGAGATGGGAAGTAAAAGTACTGCACTTTAGTACAATTTAGAGGTACTTTACTTGAGTATCCCCATTTTATGCTACTCTTAGTACTTCTACTCCACTACAGTTCAGAGGTAAATGGTGTACTTTAACTCCACTACATTTATTGAATACCATTACTTACTTTACAGATTTGGATTAACGATGTGAAATATAATCAACAAATGTAATTAAAATCAACGGATCTGTATATAATGTAAGTATTATAAGTGTGTCTAAGTAGCAAAAAACACACAAATAGTGCACTAATCAGAAAGAATTTTTTATTAATAAAAACAGAAAAGATGTGTGTGCTAACAAAGAGGCTTGTGCCCATTGCCTCAAAACAACATAAAGGAAATTAATTAAATTTAGTATAAAATAATTAAATACAAGATTTGTGTACAGAATGTTCTTGGTGTTTCTATTTTTGGGTTTAATTACATTGTTTTGTTTTTGTTGTTTTTCAAAAATGTGTTTCATAAGAGCTGTTAAAGAACAACAGCAGCACGTAGTACAAAAGTACTGTAAGAACTGGCAGTAAATATGAAGAAAACTGCCGTCGTGATTATTCAGAAACGCCAGCTGAATAGGGTTTATTTGATATTTTATTATCTTTTTTCACAAAATATCAGCTTTGTATTCCATTCAGTGCAAAAATACTAAAGACAAAAGGTTTGTGTTGTCCATTATTTATACTCAGTAAATTGCACAAAACAGAACGGTAATATTACAACAACAATAGTTAAAGGTTACAATACAATTAACAGTAGAAATATAACATAAAACAACAATAATACATTATAAATAAATAGCAGTATGAACAAAATAATTAACGCACAGTAATTATCAGTACTTTTACTCAAGTACAAGATCTGAGTACTTCTACTTTTACTCAAGTACAAGATCTGAGTACTTCTACTCAAGTACAAGATTTGAGTTCTTCTCCCATCTCTGTAGAAGACTCCATTTTGTATTTTGAGCACGGCAAAAGTCCTGCAGGTTTTTGCTCATCTGTCATTTGTTTTTAACCTGTTAAGCCCTGAGCCTGTTTTTCAGGTCTCAGGCTCGAAAATGACATTCCCAGAACAAATGACCATATCTTCCCTTCTAAAAGGGTTAAATTAATAATCTTTTTTCTCAAAGTAATGATAAACCTGTGAGTTGGATTTAGAAAAGTCAGAATCAATATAGATGTTTTTTATTTTAAAGAAAATTCAGATTTTACATAGTAAAAAACTGTAAATTATAGTGTCCGTCCAAAAATTATTTTTTACTTATAGTGAAAACTACCCTTGGATGATGGTAAGGTAGACTAAAAGCTTTAGGAATCCAAAGTACAACATATAAGTACCCTGTATCAAGATTGATGCAAAACAAGTGACATTTGACCTTTTTAGAGAGATTTAGCCAAAAGAAACCACTTCTGGGGTCATTTGGGTGGATTTTCCATATCTCTGGCCCCCCTTGCTCGATTTTGATGGTTGACACCTCTTTCTGACCGTTAGAGCCAATAGAATCGAAGGGGGAGTCCCCCACACACACATGTTGTGAAGAGAAAAGGTGGGGGCTTCGCGCATGTAATTTTCAATCAGAGTGAACCTATCTCTAGCTTTGACATCTGGAAACGGAAAAGCAGTTTTAATGCTTATGGATTATCAGAAATCATTTCAAAGGGACACAGACACATTGGATTAACTTCAGCAGCGTTTTTATCGTTTTAATGCCATTGAAGACCACTTTGGAGAGACTACAGAGCCAAGGTAAAAATGTTAGCATTTTTAGCTACCTAGCGTCACCTGTTTTGATGTCCGTTTTTGCTTATAACGTCGCAAATACATATAATTCAGTGGTAATGTCGGTGTCAATAGATTCTGTGTCACCTCACGATGTGAATCGATGTGTTGGATGTGGTGAAAAGATAAATAATAAGGTTTTGTGAGTGATTTTCGGTGCAGTAAGGTGTTAGCATTTTTCGCTCGTTGCTAATTCAGAGGCTCAGTGTTAGCATTGTAGGTTTTCTTTTGAAAAAAAAAAAAAAAAAGATCAGTTAGATGAGTTTCTTCCCGTTACATGGATATAAAACATTCATAGTTTTATTAAATGAACATGCCCTCAGACACTGTTTCCTGCAAGATGTTGCGGCAGTGCCCCGGTACCGGGGTCTCTCGGGCTTAACAGGTTAAACCCAACAAAACACTGTGAAAAATATCTGGTAATCATCAGATTGTTCTTATTGTCCTTGAAGGCACCATGTTTGTACACTATGATGAATATTCAGTAAAATGCATGGTGTTTCTCTCTTTGTCCAGACTGCCGAACACCATGGCTCAGAACCTCTCGGTGCCGCTGGCCTTCGTCGCTCTGCTCCACCTCGCCAACGAAAAGGTGACATTTTGTTTTATAGATGCATATTTATCAGAATCAGAATCGTTATTTTTTTACTTTGTTATTTGCCCCTTTTGTTTGTTTGTTTGTTTGTTCACCATGTAAAGCGGCCTTAGGTCTCTTGAAAGGCGCTATACAAATGTAATCTATTATTATTATCAGAATCAGAAACAGGTTTATCACCAGGTAGGTAACACATACGAGGAATTAAACTAGGTGTCGTGGTGCATACATACAAGTAAAACACAAATTAAAAACACAGATAGAAAACTATTTTAAGAAAACTATAATAACACAAAAAAAAAAGAAAGAATATAGCAGTATTTACATTGAATATGGTTGAAGTAGGATTGGTATAAAATATGTATAATGAAAAACAAGATGCAACATTAATGTAATGCATAAAGTCTATGATGTGGCTGAGGGTCAGTGACAGTTTGGGTCCCACTTATTATGCAATATGCAGTTTTTAGCATCTTAATATAATAAAATGTCTGGAGATTTTCTGTTTTATATCATATTTAAGGGAATGCCAAATACATTTGAGAGTAAATAATGTGCATGTAATTGGAGTTGAAGCCCTACTACTATAATATACAGTACAGTATTCTGCTATTAATTTTCTTTTAAAGACATAACGGGGCATTTCTTGTACAAAAAAATGGGGAAAATGGTTCCAAACATGCTTACTAAAACATTGTACAAGGGGACATTTTAGTATTAGATGTGTGGCCATGTATTGAAGAATGTAAAGTATTAATTTCCTTTATTGTAGTTTAAAATGTGGAATATTCTTTGTCTTTTTCACAGAATTTGGAGCTGGTGAAGGTGGACGACATGTCGGATATCATCATCAGACAAGGCCACTGAGGAGAAATGAATTATGGGAATATGTTACCTCTTCCTTCTCTCCTTAACTCTTTACTGTGTTCTATCTCTGTGGTTCTCGCTTGTTTAGTTTTTATAATATTTGTATTCATCCTCCAGCAAATAAAGTGTGAAATTAAGAAATCTTCCTCGTCCTTTGAAGAGAGTTTCCCATGTATATTGTCAAAAGAATAAAAACCTTTTTCTAAAAAAATGCCTACTTCATGTTAAAATGCTTTTAAAGGTGGGGTAGGTAAGTTTGAGAAACCGGCTCGAGATACACTTCTTGTTATATTCCATGGAATGCTCTTAACATCCCGATAGCAATGAATATCTGAAGTGCTTTGACAAAAAAATCCATAAAAAAATGTCATCTGTGGAAGCCGTAGTACTGTAAAAAGCACGACCAATCATTTGAGCCGGCCCGGCTCAAATGATTGGATGGCCTACCTGCCTGTCAGCCTTCCATCTGTGCACAAACTTATCTCGTGCCCTCATTGGTCATGTGCGCGTTCGTGTGTGTTGGAGGAGGGGCTCTATAAGGAAGTCTGAAGGAAGTGGCAGATTTTTTCCGGCTGTGTATTTTCAAATCCTAGCGCACTCGAGCTGGTTTCTCCAAAATTACCTACCCCACCTTTAATATTTGAGAAATATATAATTTGTATCTGTTCTTTGTGCCTTCAAAGAAAATACTTCAGGTCACCACCGCTAAGCTAAAGACAGCTAACGTTAGGCTATAAAGGAACTACAGCACGGTCACATGACTTCACGTCACCACCGCTAAGCTAAAGGTGGCTAATGTTGGGCTATAAAGGAACTACAGCACGGTCACATGACTTCACGTCACCACCGCTAAGCTAAAGGTGGCTAATGTTGGGCTATAAAGGAACTACAGCACGATCACATGACTTCACGTCACCACCACTAAGCTAAAGGTGGCTAATGTTGGGCTATAAAGGAACTACAGCACGGTCACATGACTTCAGGTCACCACCGCTAAGCTAAAGGAGGCTAATGTTGGGCTATAAAGGAACTACAGCACGGTCACATGACTTCACGTCACCACCGCTAAGCTAAAGGCGGGCCCCTTTATGTTACATTTTGACATGATAATTAAAATGTCTCTCAAATGGCTCCTTTAAAGTGGACCTATCATGCTATATTTTAATAATATATCGTAGGGCCATACCTATATAAAACATGTCTGTGAAGTTTTTTTTTCAAAATACCAAACAGATCATGCATTTTAGCCATGCCTCATTTCGCTCTATTTGCTCTTTTCCAGCCCTGTTTTTGCAAGGGCTGATTCTGTAAGAAGTCTTCTTCGCTGCTTTTGTGGCAGACTACAGCGCCACTTACAGGACTGGCATATGTACTACAGCGTCTCCAGCGCTTTCGAGCGGCAATGGCTGTGGTCGTGGCCCTTTCCCCTGATAGGTGGAGAGTTGCCCATATAGGCGGAGCTCCCTGTTTCTGACGTCAGAACAATTTCAAATCTGGATCAGTTTTTATCAGATCCGTTGCAGCTCCGTTTTTAGAGATTTGGGTATGGAGGAAAATAGAGAGGGTTGTGTTTTCTGACACTTAGTGAGTTCCCTGACACACCGGGGACACATATTCATGTATAAAAGATGTACAAAAGTGCATTTTGCATGATAGGTCCCCTTTAACCAATGCCGTATTATTTCTGACGTTGTTTAATCTTGATATATAAAGTGTTTTCTTACATTTTCAAATATTTGTTGTTGTTGTAGCAGACTCATAGAGGGTTATTTTTAGCTGCTTGTGATTCCCAGCAGTTGTCTGACTCAGTATCAAGGTGTCGCTCTGCCCTGCTGATGGAGGAGAAACCAGTCGGTGCAGCTGTGACAGAGCAGATCTGCAGGGAGGAGCAACATTAAACACTTATCTAACCTTTAGCCAGAGATACAGTCCGTCAGGGGTGAAAGAAGTTGAAGTAGAAGTACCAGAGCGTAGGAATACTCTGTTACAGTAAAAGTACTGCATTCAAAATGTTCCTCAAGTAAAAGTAAAAAAGTATTATCAAAATATAGTGAAAGTAGCAACAGTAAAAGTAGTGATTGTGCAGATTGGTCCATTTCAGAATAATATATATGATATGTTTTATAATGATTGATCATGAAAGTGTTCTCAAAGCTGGTAAAGGTGCAGCTAGTTTGAATGACTTTGTATACTGCAGGGTAGCTTGTGAATTTACTCCAGGTGGAACTAAAGTCTGATTTAACACTTGATTATATTTCACATCATTCATCCACATCTGTGAAGTAACTAAAGGGATTAAATACATGTAGTGGAGTAAAAGTACACCATGTGCTGGAATCATTGAACTGGTTATCCGTGTCTTTCAGAATAAATTTTAAAGTGCTTTTAATGATTTACACGGCTTTACGTAACCTGTCCCCTACACACATCAAATACTGCCTTTCATTTATAACAAAGACACTTAGATCCTCCAATGCATGTGTTTTAGAAGAACCTGAAAGTATTACAAAATAAATCTGGGGAGGCTGCTTTCTGTTTTTATGGAATTAATTGGATCGTACAGCAAACTCCATTTAATTTGGGGTGATTGTAGTCGTATCACTGTTCATGTGTTATTGTATAAAGTGTAGGAAAGATGGCTTTGTTTTTGACATTTTTAAGGATTATATATCATTTTCCAAACGATAATAAAACACAGCATGACTTTTAGACCGGCTTTGTTTTGAAAATCAAGAAGTAGTCCCTACGTTATTGGCCGCTTTACACATGACGCGGAGGAATTTGCTTTGAAAGGAGGAAAAAAAAAAGCAACCAGGAAGTCAGGCAGAAGAGGAAACGCTCGCTGTTGTTGGAGCATAAAACTCTGTAAACAACTAAAAAAAGAGTTGAATAAAACTTGTAAACAACAACAACTACTTTGAACCAACTTCATCCACCTTTTGGGGCTCAATCGGGACTATTTCCACCAACATGGACATTGATCCGGTAGGTGATAATGGCGGAAGCTTGTTTGTTTCTTCACCGTCACCGTGTTTAGCGACACTCAACAGGTGGATTTTATGGATGAAATAACTTTAAATCATGTCATAAAGTTAGTTTAATAAGTGTGTGTTTTAACTTAGCGTTGATTGAGAGAAAGTCCCTTTATTTCTCTGTAGAAACCAAACACTCTTTGGTGGAAATACAGGTTTTATTGTGAATTAATTTAGGCCAAAATCTTAAAATAACTCTTTTATTCGGTTTTAATTAATTGGCATCTTTTTATTTCGCTAATTAAGTGATACTAATGGTGGTTTTCCGCATATTTTAAAACACTTTCTTCACTGGTTGTCGTCTGTAAATACAAAATAAAATAGTGCAGGAAAGAAATAGACATTTAAAATAAGGTAAACATAAAACGATTAAATAAACATAAATAGGAATAATATAAAACTTGCATTTCAAAAAAGTTAGAATCAAACAGTGCAAGATAAAATTAAAACAATTAAATAAAGAGTTTTTAACTACATACTTTACTCTCTGATATAGTGGTAAAAAGTGCCACATTTCCCTCTCAAATGCACTTTTTGGGGGTAAAATTCCTACTTTTACATCCTGAGCTAGTTCGATAGTTTACTTTTAAGTTATATTATTATTTTAAATTGATCTCAGGGTTATATTTAAGTCATACATCACAACTTACATTTTTTTCCCTCTGATATACACCTGAACATCAGCAGGAGAGGACTCTTTAAAGTAGAGACACTACATACTGATATACACCTGAACATCAGCAGGAGAGGACTCTTTAAAGTAGAGACACTACATACTGATATACACCTGAACATCAGCAGGAGAGGACTCTTTAAAGTAGAGACACTACATACTGATATACACCTGAACATCAGCAGGAGAGGACTCTTTAAAGTAGAGACACTACATACTGATATACACCTGAACATCAGCAGGAGAGGACTCTTTAAAGTAGAGACACTAAATACTGATATACACCTGAACATCAGCAGGAGAGAACTCTTTAAAGTAGAGACACTACATACTGATATACACCTGAACATCAGCAGGAGAGAACTCTTTGAAGTAGAGACACTACATACTGATATACACCTGAACATCAGCAGGAGAGAACTCTTTAAAGTAGAGACACTACATGCTGATATACACCTGAACATCAGCAGGAGAGAACTCTTTAAAGTAGAGACACTACATACTGATATACACCTGAACATCAGCAGGAGAGGACTCTTTAAAGTAGAGACACTACATACTGATATACACCTGAACATCAGCAGGAGAGGACTCTTTAAAGTAGAGACACTACATACTGATATACACCTGAACATCAGCAGGAGAGGACTCTTTAAAGTAGAGACACTACATACTGATATACACCTGAACATCAGCAGGAGAGGACTCTTTAAAGTAGAGACACTACATACTGATATACACCTGAACATCAGCAGGAGAGGACTCTTTAAAGTAGAGACACTACATACTGATATACACCTGAACATCAGCAGGAGAGGACTCTTTAAAGTAGAGACACTAAATACTGATATACACCTGAACATCAGCAGGAGAGAACTCTTTAAAGTAGAGACACTACATACTGATATACACCTGAACATCAGCAGGAGAGAACTCTTTGAAGTAGAGACACTACATACTGATATACACCTGAACATCAGCAGGAGAGAACTCTTTAAAGTAGAGACACTACATGCTGATATACACCTGAACATCAGCAGGAGAGAACTCTTTAAAGTAGAGACACTACATACTGATATACACCTGAACATCAGCAGGAGAGGACTCTTTAAAGTAGAGGCACTACATACTGATAAACACCTGAACATCAGCAGGAGAGGACTCTTTAAAATAGAGACACTACATACTGATATACACAACAATAGCTCAGTTTCATACCAAGTATTAGCCGGGCTCTTAAGGCTATGTTAAGGTAGCTATTTAAAATAGCTAATTATGTTTCATCAAATCAAAAAATCACAAATCCTCAAGTGCACTTTTTTGGGGGGTAAAATTCCAACTTTTACATCCTGAGCTACTTTGATAGCCCGGCTTATATTTGGTAGAAAAATGAGCTAAAAATACATTTTTAAAAGTTCATATATCACCTAAAATAAATCATAGAATTATTATAGATTTGTTTTATGTCATTTACACAGCTATAGTTGTGCATTGAAAAACTTGGGTTCCTCAAACAATGCAATATAAATGTATATAAAAGACATAAAACAATTGAATAAAAACCATTAAGATAGTGCTCAGGAGTTTAGCAGTCTTATATTTGTGGGATATACTTTACTGAAGGCTTAAAGGTGGGGTATGTCATTTTGGAGAAACCAGCTCGAGTGCGCTAGAATTTGAAAGTACCCAACCGAAAAAAATCGGCCCCTTCCTTATAGAGCCCCTCCTCCAACACACACGAACGCGCACATGACCAATGAGGGCACGAGATAAGTTTGTGCCCTGATGGAAGGCTGACAGGCAGGTAGGCCATCCAGTTATTTTAGCCGGGCCGGCTCAGATGATTAGTCGTGCTTTTTACAGTATTACGGCTTCCACAGATGATATTTTGTAATGTATTTATTGTCAAAGCATTTAATGTATTCATTGCTATCGGGATGTTAAGAGCATTCCATGGAATATAACAAAAAGTGTTTCTGAAGTGAATGACCTACCCCACCTTTAAGGTAGTTTAAAATAGCTAATTATGGTTTAACATTTTAGGTTTAAAGCTGCTCTAAGTGTGTTAATAGATATATATCATGTTTTTGTATATGCTTCCTTACTGTAGAGCTGCATTGATGAGTCAAATAATTTATTAGTCGACCTGCAGAAAAATAAATGCCAACTCTGTTGAAACTTTAAATCCAAAATGAACACAAAATGATATTTTTAGTTTTCAAAATGAGGAGATTTGCTGCTTTTCTTGGTTTTTATATCGTTTTGAATTGAATATCTAGTTAGTTTTCACACTTGAAGACCAAACGAGACATTTACTAAATGATTAATCGATTACTCAACATTATCATTTCCACATTAACCTATATTTAATAATTGTTGATCGCAGCCTTATATTGTGCTAATAACAACTCTGTGATAATGGGTCTAACTCGCACCAAAATAAATCCAACAAAGTGCAAAACTTGGCTTTAAAAATAGTGATTTCTGAGGTTTTTGAAACATTAAAAGTCTAGAAAACCCCTTTTTAATGTACGCTACACTGACTCGGAGAGGAAGGGATAAACCCTGCAGAATATATGAGTGTTGTTTTACATAATCAGTGTCAAATCTAACTGCCTGTTGTTGCACATTTGACTAGATAAGGACCGGAGCAGTGAGGATTTAAAGTGATGAATGAATGAATGAAATCCACGCTTTGCATTTACAACTGCATTCAAATGACTTGGAGTCGATTCAACGGATTCACATTTCAGAGAGCCCTTTATCCGGATTCCTTTATGCACCTTTAAGCATATTTATCATACTTTAAAGAGTCCTCTCCTGCTGATGTTCAGGTGTGTATCAGTATGTAGTGTCTCTACTTTAAAGAGTCCTCTCCTGCTGATGTTCAGGTGTATATCAGTATGTAGTGTCTCTACTTTAAAGAGTCCTCTCCTGCTGATGTTCAGGTGTATATCAGTATGTAGTGTCTCTACTTTAAAGAGTTCTCTCCTGCTGATGTTCAGGTGTATATCAGTATGTAGTGTCTCTACTTTAAAGAGTCCTCTCCTGCTGATGTTCAGGTGTATATCAGTATGTAGTGTCTCTACTTTAAAGAGTCCTCTCCTGCTGATGTTCAGGTGTGTATCAGTATGTAGTGTCTCTACTTTAAAGAGTCCTCTCCTGCTGATGTTCTGGTGTATATCAGTATGTAGTGCCTCTACTTTAAAGAGTCCTCTCCTGCTGATGTTCAGGTGTATATCAGTATGTAGTGTCTCTACTTTAAAGAGTCCTCTCCTGCTGATGTTCAGGTGTATATCAGTATGTAGTGTCTCTACTTTAAAGAGTCCTCTCCTGCTGATGTTCAGGTGTATATCAGTATGTGGTGTCTCTACTTTAAAGAGTCCTCTCCTGCTGATGTTCAGGTGTATATCAGTATGTAGTGCCTCTACTTTAAAGAGTCCTCTCCTGCTGATGTTCAGGTGTATATCAGTATGTAGTGTCTCTACTTTAAAGAGTCCTCTCCTGCTGATGTTCAGCTGTATATCAGTATGTAGTGTCTCTACTTTAAAGAGTCCTCTCCTGCTGATGTTCAGGTGTATATCAGTATGTAGTGTCTCTACTTTAAAGAGTCCTCTCCTGCTGATGCTCAGGTGTATATCAGTGTGTAGTGTCTCTACTTTAAAGAGTCCTCTCCAGCTGATGTTCAGGTGTATATCAGTATGTAGTGTCTCTACTTTAAAGAGTCCTCTCCTGCTGATGTTCAGGTGTATATCAGTATGTAGTGTCTCTACTTTAAAGAGTCCTCTCCTGCTGATGTTCAGGTGTATATCAGTATGTAGTGTCTCTACTTTAAAGAGTCCTCTCCTGCTGATGTTCAGGTGTATATCAGTATGTAGTGTCTCTACTGTCTCCATGCTTTAATGTTCAAAAAGCTCTTTATGTTTCTCACACTGTGCTGCAGCACCTCTTTTCACCCTCTGTCTGAAACCAGAGCTGCTCTGATTGGTTAGCTGGTCGGCTCTGTTATGATTGGTCAACCGCTTAGAGATGTCCCGCCCCTTAGCCTATCACTTACAATGTGGAGCGCTAGCCAATAGGAGCGGGAGTGTTAAATAGTGATGTCAGTATGTTATAGAAGTAAACAAAGGAGGGATGTTAGCCTCTGCAGACCATTGACATGCACTAACACCTATATAACACACTAACTACATAACACACTACAGGAGCGGGGGAATGGCCTCTGTAAGTTCATGAAAGGAGCAGAGTAGAGGAGGTAACAGGAGAGCAGGGAGACATCAGGTGACTCAACAAAACCTGCTCTGTGTCCTGGAGACCGTTGTGTTTACAGCCCTGTTGCCTCATGGGAAATGGCTGCCTCTTATTACTCAACATAGAGTAAAGGGATTTTATTCTTACAAAAGCTACAGCGTAATAAAAGTGCAAAGATCCAGACTCCTTCATCTCCTACAATAAGTTGCAGAAATAATAAACAAATGTGGATTTTATTTACGACTTTGAGACATTTTCTTAGACAAAGTTATCCTGTGTTTGCTCACGTTTCTGTAGCTCATGATTCAAAGACTTAAAGGCTTTATTGTCATTTACAGGGTTACAGCTTCAGCTTAGTTTGTCAATGGAAATCTGAAGTCTCTTTCAATAATGCAACATGCAATAAACTGAAGACATAAAGAAACATACAATTGTGCAAGTGCAGTAATTTGCAAGAATACAAAAAAAAGCACTAGCTCCAAACTGGCCCTTTGGTGGGAAAAGGGCATTAAAGTCGATTGTTGTGTCGTTTTGATATAAGTTGATTACGCTTTGTGATTATTCATTATTTTTGTTAGTTTTGACATGCTAAGCTTCTTCTTTTCCGAAGAGTTGTACACTAAGTGCATCTCTTCAAAACAACATTTTAAATAAAGAGCTTTTTGGGGATTCTTTTTGGAGAAACTGGCAGGTCTAGTTCAGTACACATTAAATAGCTCCTTCATGAAAACTGCTATAAATAAGATCTGAGGATTATATTGAGTAACCTGGTCATATTTCATAAGTTTAAATTGGTGTTTTATAAGCTACAACTATTTTGATAATCCATTTATTGTTAAAGGTATTTTTCATGCAATTATGTCAGAAAATGCTGTTTAAACGTCTCAGAAATTGAGATATCCTTCTTTCTTTCTGTTTTACATAATACCTAAGTGAATATCCGTAAGTGTGGGACTGTCAAAACGAGACATTTATAGACTAAACAATCAAATCTATTGATTAATAATTGAAGATGAATTGAAAATGGAAATATTCTGTAGTTTTAGCCCATATCACATTCCACTTACTGTAAATTAATCCAATAAAACTAACTTTTGACAACTTTTAAGTATTTTTTAATTATTGTTTTTAAAGTAGTTTTAGCCCTACACCATACAGTTTATAATAATAATAATAATAATAATCAATTTTATTTATAAGCGCACTTTTCATTTGAGTAAACAAAACTCAAAGTGCTACAGAGTAAAATGGTTGAAACAAAACAACAAAAACTAATAAAACGACTAAATAAAAGTAGTGAAGTTTTACGTCGGCATGGCAACAAGTGGGTTTTTTAAAGATTTAGTAAATATATGCGTTTTTAAAAAAAAACACTGCCGCTCCCATGTGTAATGCTACTTTCCTCAACACATTTCTACATTGAATTACTTTTCTTTTTCTGTGTGGTCCCAGGAGCGAGGAGGAGCCGAGGCGGCGCCCGAGCCCAAAGACAAGGTTCAGATCCTGAAGGACCAGGTGGACGGGGTGAAAGACATCATGACGCAGAACGTGGACCGCATCCTTGCCCGTGGCGAGAGGCTGGACGACTTGATGGGGAAATCTGAGGATCTCCAGACGGGGGTGAGTTCTAGCTAATAATAGACTAAGAATGCCTAAATTAAAACTGATTAATGTCTCAAAAAACTAAGATGATGGTTAGTGACTTTACCGCCTGTAACTCCAGCTCGATGATCTGTTCCTAGAGCGTAAGAGTACGCCTTGTTCTCTCTCTTAATGTTGCCCTTCTTGGTGGTTTCCTTCTGGGCACTGCAGAAAGAGAGTGGAAGACAGAAGTTAATAAATGCTAAATATAGTGGTCTCAACGTTTATGCTACCGCTAAGCTAAATGCGGCTAATGTTGGGCTATAAAGGAACTACAGCACGGTCACATGACTTCACGTCACCACCGCTAAGCTAAAGGTTGCTAATGTTGGGCTATAAAGGAACTACAGCACGGTCACATGACTTCACGTCACCACCGCTAAGCTAAAGGTGGCTAATGTTGAGCCCATAAATGAACTACAGTACGGTCACATGACTTCACGTCACCACCGCTAAGCTAAAGGTGGCTAATGTTGAGCCCATAAAGGAACTACAGCACGGTCACATGACTTCAGGTCACCACCGCTAAGCTAAAGGCGGCTAATGTTGGGCTATAAAGGAACTACAGCACGGTCACATGACTTCACGTCACCACCGCTAAGCTAAAGGTGGCTAATGTTGGGCTATAAAGGAACTACAGCACGGTCACATGACTTCACGTCACCACCGCTAAGCTAAAGGCGGCTAATGTTGAGCCCATAAAGGAACTACAGCACGGTCACATGACTTCACGTCACCACCGCTAAGCTAAAGGTGGCTAATGTTGGGCTATAAAGGAACTACAGCAAGGTCACATGACTTCACGACACCACCGCTAAGCTAAAGGTGGCTAATGTTGAGCCCATAAAGGAACTACAGCACGGTCACATGACTTCACGTCACCACCGCTAAGCTAAAGGTGGCTAATGTTGGGCTATAAAGGAACTACAGCACGGTCAAATGACTTCAGGTCACCACCGCTAAGCTAAAGGTGGCTAATGTTGGGCTATAAAGGAACTACAGCAAGGTCACATGACTTCACGACACCACCGCTAAGCTAAAGGTGGCTAATGTTGGGCTATAAAGGAACTACAGCAAGGTCACATGACTTCACGTCACCACCGCTAAGCTAAAGGTGGCTAATGTTGGGCTATAAAGGAACTACAGCACGGTCACATGACTTCAGGTCTACACCGCTAAGCTAATGTTGGGCTTGTGTTAACCACAGACCTTATTTCAGGATAACAACCAGAAACACATTCAGAAAACAATTGATTTGTGCTAAAATGCTGACTAATTTCCTGGTTTTAGGACTCATTCCTGCACCACTCTATTTCTCATATGTGCAGCGATGCATCTCTGGTGTCTCTGAGTTTGTAAATAAAGATGACCTCATTGATAATCATCAGGAAAACCAGTACAACCAGTTCGTTAGTGAGATTAAAGACATTTCAAATGAACCTGACTAACATATAGTCCACATGGACATGGGAATGTTTCCTACTTTCTAATTTAAAAAAAGTATGTCCACAAAAGGACGATATCCATCCAAAATATATATTCTGTGGAGGCCAGTGGGACAACACACACAAGTCTTGTTTAATTTTCAGTCTGTAGCTTCGATGTCAACTAAAAAAGGCTTCAATTGGAGAGAAGCTAGAGCGTAGTTGTTTCCTCTAACAATGCTATATAGAATATACTTATAAATAAACCATCTGCATGTCAAATGTAAAGAAATATTAAGTTCAATCTACTATTGGATATTGTTCAGTGGGAAGAAATACTCGTTATGTAAAATTAGAGTGGTACAAGGATGTCTTATTTCTGTGTTGGACCCTGAAGGCAGCATCTCCCTGGTCCAATGGGATTTCTCCATGTGACAAACGCTTATGATGTCAAAAAAAGTACCAAAAACACATTATGAAAAACACAAGAAGTGCTAAAATGCTGACTCATCTTGGGGATTATTATGACTCATTCCTGCACTCATTCCTTGTGTCCCTCCCCATGCTAAAATCGTTATGACATCATTAAGTTGCCCAAATCTGATCAGCTCATTTTCAGACAGGTTTTTATATAAATGGATCAGGAGAAAAAGAGAGAGAATCTTTGTTCCTGAAGCTTTCAGAGTCTCTTTCCACAGAGGGGACACATGTTGATGTAGAAGAGACATGAAGAAGAGGGGACACATGTTGATGTAGAAGAGACATGAAGAAGAGGGGACACGTGTTGATGAAGAAGAGACGTGAAGAAGAGGGGACACATGTTGATGTAGAAGAGACGTGAAGAAGAGGGGACACATGTTGATGTAGAAGAGACGTGAAGAAGAGGGGACACATGTTGATGTAGAAGAGACGTGAAGAAGAGGGGACACATGTTGATGTAGAAGAGACGTGAAGAAGAGGGGACACATGTTGATGTAGAAGAGACGTGAAGAAGAGGGGACACATGTTGATGTAGAAGAGACGTGAAGAAGAGGGGACACATGTTGATGTAGAAGAGACGTGAAGAAGAGGGGACACATGTTGATGTAGAAGAGACGTGAAGAAGAGGGGACACATGGTGATGTAGAAGAGACGTGAAGAAGAGGGGACACATGTTGATGTAGAAGAGACATGGAGAAGTGGATTTTGCATAATAGGAGACCTTTAACATCACGCGTTCAGACCAGAAACACATTCAGAAAACTTCCATATAAGGGATCAAGAAGTGCTACAATGCCCATTAATCTTAGAGCTTATTATGACTCATTCCTGCACTCATTCCCATTGTGTGTGTGTGTCCCCCCTCAGGCTCAGCACTTCAAGCAGACGTCGGTGAAAGTGGCTCGTACGTACTGGTGGAAGAACGTGAAGCTGGTGGTGGTCATCGTGGTGGTCGTGCTCATCATCGTGCTCATCATCGTCCTCCTCTCCACCGGGGTCATTCCCACCACCACAAAGCCAATTACACCCACCCTACCACCCCATAAGCCATAAACACACACACACACGCACACACACGCACACACACACACACACACACACACTCTTGCACAATGTACATACCAAGTTACAGTAAAACAGAAAAGTAATATATAGACTCAAAGAAGAATAATAATAACTGCTGTCTTGGGGAAACGGTTTCTGCTTCATGCTCATTATGGTATTTGAAGACCAGTGCTTTTTTCTAGTTTATTGGTGATTTAGTTTATCACAATTCCAGCCTATAGTTAATTTTTTTAATTTGTGAGAAACTAAAGACAAGTGTCGCCTGACGGCAGCAAAAACATCTGCCCGAAAAAAGCCAGCTGCTCTTTGTTAACGATTATTATCCTGAAAGAAGTCAATTTAAAGAGTCCCTATTATCTGGGTTTTTATATAGGTTTTAGTTCCTCCATTGGACTCCTTTGTTTACTTCCAGACCAAAATGACATCACTATGCAAGACTCAGGCTCCTATTGGCTAGCACTCCAATACATTTTACATGATAGGCTAAGGGGCGGGACATCTCTAAGTGGTTGACCAATCACAACAGAGCAGGCAAGCAGTCTAAATCTGGGCAGATTAGGGCGCCTTTTAAAGTGGATTTCTTCAGTCTTTTACCAGACATTATTAGTCTTGAATGTAATCCCCCTAAATGCACCTTTACAACGAGAAGTTTGTATAGTTTAAAAGATAAAAATGCAGTTTAAAAAAAACATGTTTTCTGACAAATCTGTAATTTTTAGGTCAGTGGAAAGCTAAATTGTATATTGGATATGTATGTCACCGTCTGTGGGCTTATTATTATTATTATTAGTATTATTATTATTCCTGCTGTCACTTTTCTTCGTAGTCAGACAATCTAGAAAAGGGAATCATGTTATCAAATTATATTTACATTTGTAGGAACTTTTGTGCAATCAGATACTTGGTGGTGTGTTTGAGGAGAGGTTTGTTATATTAATAATACAACGTCAACGTCTAAACAACTGTTATTTTACACAGAAATCTAATAATATACCTGGGTTGGGTTTCAAAACACTTTAACATAATCTGTAAATATACATCAGAGTCTTATTAGTTCTAGAAAATACCTTTATTTAAGAAGTGGGGAAACATTTGCTAATGTCAAAAACATTTAAAAAAACAACCAAAGTTAGAGAATATCCAACGTTTGCAAGTTTAAAAAACAACATTTGAAGTTTCCTGTAGGACTTCTATCTTAATACTCGACCAAATGTAAAAATAAAAGTCCCAAATAATATAATATCACTTAACGTTGTGACTGATTATGGTTCAGAGCGTCCATTTTGTTTGTAATTGGGGATTGTTGAGTGTTTCCAGTCGTTATGCTAAGCTAACAAGGGGCTAGCTGTAGCTTCATATCAAACGTACAGACCAACAAATAACCCAAAGTGAAAGGTAAACCATCAAACATTCGTAGATGTAACTTTGACAGGAGATGCACATATTTCCCTCGATACTCTTGATACTCAATACTACATTTCAAAAATAATTATTCCAATTAACATCTAGTCACTTAGCGCTGCGACTTGGCTGAGGCAGAACTCAATGGGTTTTGCACAAATTGAGCAAATGAGATAGAAAGCTATTTTTGAAATTGTTGTTTGAGTCTTTAAGCTAAGCTAAGCTAACCAGCAACCGGCTGTAGCTTTATATTTACCATACAGACCAACAAACACACACAGAAGGTTTATTCCTAGTGTTTTCAGACGCTTATAATGCAAATCGGAGCCTAAAACTAAATATTAGTGGACGAACGTCAATTTGCTATCCTTGATATTCAACATACTTTTTTTTAAATGACCCCAATTGGTAAATAACACACAACATTTTGAGATAAATTAAGTCCTGATTGTTCCCACACTTCCATTTTTTGTGCATCAGGCTCTAACATTAATTAAAGATTATAACAATTGGTACAAAGACCCTGTGTGTCCCCCCCCCCCCCTCTTCTACCTGCTGTTGCAGTACCAAGTTATTCTCTAAAAATGTCATAATAATGATAAACTGTAAATAGTCAGCACAGTCTCTCCTCTTGTGTATATTTGCAAAGTGTTAACGAGTTCTTAACGAGGCTGTTTATTCAACGCGTCATGTCTTCTTCTTTTTTTCTGAACCTCAATGAGTCAATGAAGTGATTTCTGATTAGTCATGTTGATAATTGTCTAAAGGAAGCTGTGTATTTGTGACGCTCTGGGTGAAGGAGTGATGATAATCTTCCTGTTCTCACTCTGCGGTTTGTGATCACTGTCTGATTCGACCTGGAAACAGAAGATGCACCCTGCTCCGCTGACCTGAGACCAGCAGGGTTTTATCCTAATGACTTGTGATGTTTAATGGTTTTAATGGTCCTGAAATAAATGAATAGTATTTACCTCTGAGCTGTTGTCGTGCTGTTTGTTGATCCGCCACAAGATGGAGACACAGAGTCACAATAAGATCAACGAAAAGAGCAAAGGTCATCAAGATGTTCACTGAGGCGGAGAAGTACTCTGATCTGGTACTGTAGTAAAAGTAGAAGTACTCTGATCTGGTACTGTAGTAAAAGTAGAAGTACTCAGATATTGTACTGTAGTAAGAGTAGAAGTACTCTGATCTGGTACTGTAGTAAAAGTAGAACTACTCAGATATTGTACTTCAGTAGAAGTACTCAGATCTTGTACTTGAGTAAAAGTAGAAGTACTCAGATCTTGTAGTAAAAGTAGAAGTACTCTGATCTGTTACTGTAGTAAAAGTAGAAGTACTCAGATAATGTACTTCAGTAAAAGTAGAAGTACTCAGATCTTGTACTTGAGTAAAAGTAGAAGTACTCAGATATTGTACTTCAGTGAAATTAGAAGTACTCAGATCTTGTACTTGAGTAAAAGTAGAAGAACTCAGATCTTGTACTTGAGTAAAAGTAGAAGTACTCAGATCTTGTACTTGAGTAAAAGTAGAAGTACCAGAGTGTAGGAATACTCTGTTACAGTAAAAGTCCTGCATTCAAAATGTTCCTCAAGTAAAAGTAGAAAAGTATTATCATCAAAATATAGTTGAAGTAGCGACAGTAAAAGTAGTCATTGTGCAGATTGGTCCATTTCAGAATAATATATATGATATGTTTTATAATGATTGATCATGAAAGTGTTCTCAAAGCTGGTAAAGGTGCAGCTAGTTTGAATGACTTTGTATACTGCAGGGTAGTATTGATATGTTGGTAATGTGAAGGATTGTCTCCGGCAGCCTCCTCCATCACTAACCAGCAGCATGTCATTTTGATGTCATTTTTTTATGTTTTCAGTTTCTAAATTAGCAACCTATAGATTAAGTAGTAATATGTTTTCAAGGCAAGACAGAACAATATCCAATAACTTGAGAAACCTTTTAAATTAAATTACAGGTTGAATGAAAGTCAATGTACCAGTGTCCAGTTCAACAAACGTGTACAATTATTTAGAAATATCATGGCACAAGTCGCGACCTTCTCGATTTCTTTTTAGAAAATGAACACATTTCATGTATTTTCCATTGTCTTAGTCTTACTCTTTAGTTTTTACTGTATTTACTACCAACACATTGCTTTTGAAAAGCTAAGACATATTTGGATTTTGCAGTGTATTAATCCAAAAAATCCAAATGAAGTGACAGGAAGAAGCCTAATGTTTCCTGAAGCCTTACAGTGTGTGACGTCATGCTTCTTCTTTCCCCAGAAATGTTTCACTGTCTTCAGTCATCGAGAGCACTGTCAGAGTGGAGGGACAGCGGGAGGTAACGGTTTCCTATTACTATTATTTACCACATTGTACCGTAGATGGATTCTTTAAAATTGTATTCAAAAAGGCTCACACCTAGAATAGCTAAGCATGGGTTTTCCCTTTATATATGCAGTCTATGGTTTATCACTTTTCAGAGAGAAAAGTTGAGCAAGGTGAAAAAAGACCAAAGCATTGATAACTTTTTCTTTTTTGTGGAAAATGTAAAAGCTTTTGTAGGCAGTAGAAATCTAATTTAACCAGGACGAAAAGTAAGATTCATATGAGGAAAGCTGTTTCTTTCAATTCGATTACACGGCATAAATATGTCTTACTGGCAGTCACTAACTTTAAGCACTTAAAAAGGGGAAGTATAAGCAGGCCGGAAATGTGTACAATACAAGAGGTTCTCTATGTACTTGGGTGCCAGACACTGTACGCTCAGGATTATGTGTGTGTGTGTGTGTGTGTGTGTGTGTGTGTGTGTGTGTGTGTGTGTGTGTGTGTGTGTGTGTGTGTGTGTTTGGCTGACACCCTTAGGTATGCTATGAAGATGTTTCCTTCACATCCAATACTTTGGTCCAGTTTGCTGGTTTTATTTGCCTTACAAATTGGTAGGTAACACGCACACACGCTTGACGCACACACATTCTTCCTAAATCACGGAAAAGACCGTTAATTAATCCACAAAAAATGTGGATTAATTAAGCATGGTGTACTTTGAAGAAAATATGCCTTCATATTTTGTATAATCTGAATGGAAATGCATTGATGCTTACATTGGACCACTTGTGTGTGAGGGTCTTTAAAGTTAGAACTTGACCATCCGTTGCCTTTGGTTTCCCCCCCGTGCTAAAACTCCAAACGTATTTACTCCTTTAATAGAGGCGGAAGCTGACATTTCAGATGTCTGTCAGGATACAATGTCTTCTGATGACGTGAGAATCAATTTTTTTAATATTGTCCAAAGGTCACACAGTCACATGAAAGCCACCCACTTTAATGCAGATGTATCTTGTTGTTTGTGGTACTTTTTTCAGATCGATGTACTGAGTACTTTAGTGAAGGAGCATCATGTAGAGATGGAAAATATACATGATACAAACCTTACCTGCCTCCTTTACCCAACAAATATACTCAACTGCTCCTGGTCATTTAACACCTTACACCAGGATACTCAGCTCTTTGTCAACATCAGGTATTTTTTTAAATGATACATTACACATGTGGCATAGAGAGTATTTATGAATAATTAAAGGCATACTTACATCCTTACATTCTCTTTCCCTCTGTTTTCATGCAGCATCTGTGATGGTAACAAATCAGTTCAGTCTCCTGACCTGTCGTCTGAGGAGAAAGTCGGATCAAGGTCTTTAGCTCTGCATGATCACAAGATGTCACTTTTAATCCTACACTTCAACTTCACCCTGCACGGCAACTGGACAGTCTACGCCTCCAAATACGACCTCAACATGCTAGGTAATACAAGACAAACTCTCATTGAGCTCTATAGGGGAAACAGGGTAGGTTTACTTCTAGGGGTCAAAAGGTAACCAATAGGGCAATATCACGATGAAATAAACTTGATAATGGAGTGACAGGAATGTTGGTGTCTTACGTAAAAAAAATCAAACCATTTTTACCATATAAAAAGAGAGGGGAAAGCTATCGTTGATTTTTTTCACTGGCTAGTAACATATGGTTGTAAGCTTAGTTGCTAGCGGAAATCCGCAGTTCCGCCTGCATTTTTAATAATTATTGTACTAATGTTGTCGTTGTGTGTGCCACAGAGGTCCTGTCTCCACCCCAAAACATCTCTGCATCAATCAAAGATGGAGGTCTATTGGTGACATGGGGTTCGCCCCACTGTAGAGTCGACAACGACCCCTTCTGCTTTGAATACCAGCTGGACATGGGTGACCAGGTACAGTATACATGTGTGGATATGGATGTCAATTATTCAATAATGTAGGTTACGCTTCCTATGATGCTTTATAATGCATTGTAAACATACTTCTTATACAGAATAATGCTTGTATCACTGGTTGATTATCAAAATAAACATTTACTCCATTAAGCTACACCAGAATGCATTCTACCTATAAGGATACAACCTGTTTTAGCAAAAGGGCAAATGATATCCAACAAAGCCTTTCCTCTAGCTATCTCACTAAAATCCCTAAGAAAGCAGAACCTGCAGTGTCAACTCTTTCTGCCACATAATAAGGCAACATAATAAGGCAACAGGTGCTTTATTATGTGACAGAGGATTTTTATTGATCAGATCAGTAGACCTCAGTACGTTTTGAATGATCTGAACTCCTCCAGCGCTACACCCCAGCCAGAGCTTTAAGGTCTGCTGACCAGCTGCTGCTGGTAGTGCCCAAGACCAGGCTTAAAACCCGAGGGCACCGAGCCTTCGCAGCAGCTGGCCCGAGGCTCTGGAACACTCTGCCCCTCCATGTGAGGTCGGCCCAGACCCTAGGGGTTTTTAAATCTACTCTTAAGACACACTTCTTCTCCCTGGCCTTCTAGTCAGAGCGGAGCACGACTCCTGACTTTTCCCTGTGTTTTCTTTTTAAATATCTGTTGTAATTTATTGTCTTTTATTGTGATTATAGAAATGTGTTTTTATGTGATTGTAGTTATTACATGTACAGCACTTTGGCCCGAACAAAAATCGCTTTTAAATGTGCTTTATAAATAAACCTTGATTTGATTTGATTTGATTTGATCTGAGTGGGTGAGAGAGCGCACTGGACACAGCTTCAGATCCTGTCACTTAGTTGATGCTAGTGTAATAGAAAATTAGTTTGGAAATGGCATAACAAGGGCCTTAATTCTGATTTATACTTTATTGTTCTTTATTCTTTAGTCTTCTTCCGGTTTAATACTTAGATTTTGTATGAATTCTACCATTAGGTTATGTTTTGGCTTGTTTTTTCCATCTGTCTGTCAACAGGATTAGGGAAGGAATCAGACAGTGATGCCACTTTGTTTACTTCAGTAACATAGTGACATCACTATGTAACATTCACGATTCTATTGGTTAGTGCTCAACACTTGTACGTGACAGGCTAAGGGGCGGTTCATCTCTAAGCGGTTGACCAATCACAACAGAGCCGGCCAGCTAACCAATCAGAGTGGACTGGGCTCTGGTTTCAGACAGAGGGTGAAAAGAGGTGCTGCAGCACAGGCAGTATGAGAAAAATAAAGAGCTTTTTGAACATTAAAGCATGGAGACATGTCCCAGTAGAGACACTACATACTGATATACACCTGAACATCAGCAGGAGAGGACTCTTTAAAGTAAAGACACTACATACTGATATACACCTGAACATCAGCAGGAGAGGACTCTTTAAAGTAGAGACACTACATACTGATATACACCTGAACATCAGCAGGAGAGGACTCTTTAAAGTAGAGACACTACATACTGATATACACCTGAACATCAGCAGGAGAGGACTCTTTAAAGTAGAGACACTACATACTGATATACACCTGAACATCAGCAGGAGAGGACTCTTTAAAGTAGAGACACTACATACTGATATACACCTGAACATCAGCAGGAGAGGACTCTTTAAAGTAGAGACACTACATACTGATATACACCTGAACATCAGCAGGAGAGGACTCTTTAAAGTAGAGACACTACATACTGATATACACCTGAACATCAGCAGGAGAGGACTCTTTAAAGTAGAGACACTACATACTGATATACACCTGAACATCAGCAGGAGAGGACTCTTTAAAGTAGAGACACTACATACTGATATACACCTGAACATCAGCAGGAGAGGACTCTTTAAAGTAGAGACACTACATACTGATATACACCTGAACATCAGCAGGAGAGGACTCTTTAAAGTAGAGACACTACATACTGATATACACCTGAACATCAGCAGGAGAGGACTCTTTAAAGTAGAGACACTACATACTGATATACACCTGAACATCAGCAGGAGAGGACTCTTTAAAGTAGAGACACTAAATTCTGATATACACCTGAACATCAGCAGGAGAGGACTCTTTAAAGTAGAGACACTACATACTGATATACACCTGAACATCAGCAGGAGAGGACTCTTTAAAGTAGAGACACTACATACTGATATACACCTGAACATCAGCAGGAGAGGACTCTTTAAAGTAGAGACACTAAATACTGATATACACCTGAACATCAGCAGGAGAGGACTCTTTAAAGTAGAGACACTACATACTGATATACACCTGAACATCAGCAGGAGAGGACTCTTTAAATTAGAGACACTACATACTGATATACACCTGAACATCAGCAGGAGAGGACTCTTTAAAGTAGAGACACTACATACTGATATACACCTGAACATCAGCAGGAGAGGACTCTTTAAAGTAGAGACACTAAATACTGATATACACCTGAACATCAGCAGGAGAGGACTCTTTAAAGTAGAGACACTACATACTGATATACACCTGAACATCAGCAGGAGAGGACTCTTTAAAGTGGAGACACTACATACTGATATACACCTGAACATCAGCAGGAGAGGACTCTTTAAAGTAGAGACACTACATACTGATATACACCTGAACATCAGCAGGAGAGGACTCTTTAAAGTAGAGACACTACATACTGACATACACCTGAACATCAGCAGGAGAGGACTCTTTAAAGTAGAGACACTACATACTGATATACACCTGAACATCAGCAGGAGAGGACTCTTTAAAGTAGAGACACTACATACTGATATACACCTGAACATCAGCAGGAGAGGACTCTTTAAAGTAGAGACACTACATACTGATATACACCTGAACATCAGCAGGAGAGGACTCTTTAAAGTAGAGACACTACATACTGATATACACCTGAACATCAGCAGGAGAGGACTCTTTAAAGTAGAGACACTAAATACTGATATACACCTGAACATCAGCAGGAGAGGACTCTTTAAAGTAGAGACACTACATACTGATATACACCTGAACATCAGCAGGAGAGGACTCTTTAAAGTAGAGACACTACATACTGATATACACCTGAACATCAGCAGGAGAGGACTCTTTAAAGTAGAGACACTACATACTGATATACACCTGAACATCAGCAGGAGAGGACTCTTTAAAGTAGAGACACTACATACTGATATACACCTGAACATCAGCAGGAGAGGACTCTTTAAAGTAGAGACACTACATACTGACATACACCTGAACATCAGCAGGAGAGGACTCTTTAAAGTAGAGACACTACATACTGATATACACCTGAACATCAGCAGGAGAGGACTCTTTAAAGTAGAGACACTACATACTGATATACACCTGAACATCAGCAGGAGAGGACTCTTTAAAGTAGAGACACTACATACTGATATACACCTGAACATCAGCAGGAGAGGACTCTTTAAAGTAGAGACACTACATACTGATATACACCTGAACATCAGCAGGAGAGGACTCTTTAAAGTAGAGACACTACATACTGATATACACCTGAACATCAGCAGGAGAGGACTCTTTAAAGTAGAGACACTACATACTGATATACACCTGAACATCAGCAGGAGAGGACTCTTTAAAGTAGAGACACTACATACTGATATACACCTGAACATCAGCAGGAGAGGACTCTTTAAAGTAGAGACACTACATACTGATATACACCTGAACATCAGCAGGAGAGGACTCTTTAAAGTAGAGACACTACATACTGATATACACCTGAACATCAGCAGGAGAGGACTCTTTAAAGTAGAGACACTAAATACTGATATACACCTGAACATCAGCAGGAGAGGACTCTTTAAAGTAGAGACACTACATACTGATATACACCTGAACATCAGCAGGAGAGGACTCTTTAAAGTAGAAACACTACATACTGATATACACCTGAACATCAGCAGGAGAGGACTCTTTAAAGTAGAGACACTAAATACTGATATACACCTGAACATCAGCAGGAGAGGACTCTTTAAAGTAGAGACACTACATACTGATATACACCTGAACATCAGCAGGAGAGGACTCTTTAAAGTAGAGACACTACATACTGATATACACCTGAACATCAGCAGGAGAGGACTCTTTAAAGTAGAGACACTACATACTGATATACACCTGAACATCAGCAGGAGAGGACTCTTTAAAGTAGAGACACTACATACTGACATACACCTGAACATCAGCAGGAGAGGACTCTTTAAAGTAGAGACACTACATACTGATATACACCTGAACATCAGCAGGAGAGGACTCTTTAAAGTAGAGACACTACATACTGATATACACCTGAACATCAGCAGGAGAGGACTCTTTAAAGTAGAGACACTACATACTGACATACACCTGAACATCAGCAGGAGAGGACTCTTTAAAGTAGAGACACTACATACTGATATACACCTGAACATCAGCAGGAGAGGACTCTTTAAAGTAGAGACACTACATACTGATATACACCTGAACATCAGCAGGAGAGGACTCTTTAAAGTAGAGACACTACATACTGATATACACCTGAACATCAGCAGGAGAGGACTCTTTAAAGTACAGACACTAAATACTGATATACACCTGAACATCAGCAGGAGAGGACTCTTTAAAGTAGAGACACTACATACTGATATACACCTGAACATCAGCAGGAGAGGACTCTTTAAAGTAGAGACACTACATACTGATATACACCTGAACATCAGCAGGAGAGGACTCTTTAAAGTAGAGACACTACATACTGATATACACCTGAACATCAGCAGGAGAGGACTCTTTAAAGTAGAGACACTACATACTGATATACACCTGAACATCAGCAGGAGAGGACTCTTTAAAGTAGAGACACTACATACTGATATACACCTGAACATCAGCAGGAGAGGACTCTTTAAAGTAGAGACACTACATACTGATATA